CCACACACACACAGAGCAGTGTGTTGACAGAAGCTGACTGGATTGGTGATATTTAGGTGATAATGTGTATGCAGAAAGGAAGGTACAGCCCACGGGAGAGAGCAATATACATTCCCCAAAGGAAATAGCTCTTGTCAGGTAAATCAGGCAATTAACAATAGTGAAATTAGAGGGCCGGTTACAAAGGGTCTCTAAAGGCCTGGCTTTTTAAGAGATGTGGCCCCTGGGACTGAGAGAAGCAGGTAAAATTCCAGTCCTCAGGACATACTCAGTTATCTGGAATGGGAAATAGGAACTGAACATACTGTTTTCAGTTTAGTGGGTTTTTTTACGTTAAAATATTTTTCCTAAGTAGTATTTAAATACAAAAATGTTGCTGAGTATCAAAGAGGAGATTTTTATATAATTGATTTCTATAGTTCCTGCCATGTTAAAATTACAAAGGGCCATCGATATTTTGGGGGAAAGTTTTCCAGGGTCATCTAATGCCTGTTCTATTATCATAAATTATTGTTTACAGTGCTTGAATATGAATCTGAAATATGAAAATCAGGACTGTTGTGAGGAATAAGATAGTTTAAACCAGATGTGGATATTGTATAAGAGAATTAAATGATAGGTGTCCCCACCACAGTCACTGTCTATAAAATTAATTTAACTCCATCTTTTATTACAATTTAATTAATATCCACACTCCAACTTTTCATTGGTTCACTCTCAAATGGGGATCAAATCAGCTTCACTGATGAGAATATGATGAGGGGAATGAGAAAGAAGCAAGCCCCCTCTGTAACTCACCACCACCGCCACCGCCACCACCACGTCAGTGGAGAAGATCCTCTCTGTTACCTAATATTCATCTCTGCCCTGGAATTAGGTCTTAGACTCTGTGGACAGAGCCTGAAGTCCTAACATGTCTACTAAGCAGTAGCAAAAGGGAATGCTTCAGTTCCCCATCCACTTCCCTAGGATAGCCCTTTTCCACAAGGTGTTTGTAAGTGCCAAATACAATTCATAATAAATAAAAAGATTTGGGACCTAAATGGCTTTTAGGAGTCTCTAAACAATCGTGGAGGTCTGAATGCTAGAATCTGTGGTATGGAGAGTAAGCTGTTACAAAAATACCGTGTTGGTTAGTCTGTTCTATATAGGGGAGAGTATGCAACTTGTTTGACAATATAGGGTTCTAGGCTCCAGATGGTAGGAAGAGCGTATCTTTCTGCTACCAGGATTACAGGGTGAGACAGAGTCTTTATTAAAGTGGGGAAATGGAAGCCTTCTTTCTCATGCCAGATACATGTTTCAATAAATCCCCTGGACTGGTGATCAACAAATACTGTTTGAAGATTTGTGGGCTTCAGATCCCAATGGAAGATGCTAAGGTGTAGGGCAAGTCAGGAGAGGTTGCCTGTCTAGTGGCTTCTAGAGCCTGAAGAAAACAAACAAACAAACAAACAAACAAACAAACAAACAAACAAACAGGCTTCAGCAGTGTAGATATCCAAGGGAGCAAGACAGCCAGGGAACTGGGAGGTTGACTATTCACTGTTGCTCCTTCCCATCCTTCTGGTTCTACTGAGCGCTGCCTCTTCCTGAGGTGCAGATGACACTGAAACACAATTAAACAAAAATACAGGCTGGAGAGAATGAGTGCTCCTGGGTAGCAGTGGCAACCAGCTGTCAGCTCTTATTAACTTCTGCATAAAACATACCTTGAGTGCGGTTTGTTATCAATTACTTGCCGAAATGAAACAACTGGGGCAAGGCAAGACCGCAGCTCATATGAATTAGAGTGATTGGTTGATTGATCAGGGCACCTGTTGTAAATCATAACTGCTGCAAACAATCACCAGCCGGTGCTCTACGTTAATTTGTAAACAAAATTCATGTCACTGAGAAATTGCTTTAACTGGAAAAGAGCATTTGGATTCATTTGTAAGTGAATCCTTTATGATATAAGAAAGAATCGGACCCACTTTAGAGAAATGAGCAGCTCTTTTGGGTCCAGCTCCCCAGCTTAACGGAATTACGTGGCTGTTCTTGCATACAGCATCTGATGGGGCCCACACTCCTGCGCCTCTCCAGTGATGACCATGATGTGAGTCCAACAGGAGAGGAGGGAAGGGTACTCATAAAGACGGTTGGTATTACCGTTTTATATCATCCATAGCGACAATCACCTTCAGGCTTCAGCAGATAAAAATGTGATTATTGTCTTCAGGAAACAGATGAGGAAACTAAGATTCAGAGAGGTTCAGTGAGATGTCTGAGGTCACACAGCCAGCATGTGATGGAATGGGATTTGCTGGGTTTTATACATAACACAATCCCAACTCTTGGTTGCATGTTTATTGATTTGTGTAGTGAGCGGGCCTGTGGCAAGCGACATTCATATGTCTACACACACGGGGTAAATTTCCAGAGAAGTGACGGCTTTTCCATTTGTTTGTACACAGTGCTCTGAACGCACGGCAGCCCCACTGGAACAAACACTTCCTCCTCCGGCTTCCCACTTGGCGCCTGTCCTGTGGCCTCGCCCCTGCGCACGCACCGACACATTCTATCAGCCGGTCAGCAGGATCGAAACCCGGTCACCTTTATGGCATATATTTTTTTTTCTCTCTAGTTCCGGTTCCTCCCAAATCTGTGACTTCTCTGATGATGAATAAAGATGGTTTCCTTGGAGGCATGTCCGTCAACACCGGCGAGGTGTTTTGCTCGGTCCCGGGCCGTCTGTCTCTGCTCAGTTCAACTTCAAAGTACAAAGTAACTGTGGGGGAAGTTCAGAGACGGCTTTCGCCCCC